GCTTTGTTCAAGTGGGTTGGTCTTCCAGGGTCGTCGTGGCCGTTGTCGTGTGTCAACATCCTCAACAATCACCCTTGTCCAAGGTAAGCTTCCCACGCATGGGGCATCTCTCACTCAACTCAAGGAGCAATAAGTGATTTCGCAAATGGAATCCACACGATTTTCCCTGCAAGAATTTACAAAAAGTCTCACAGGGATATTTTTGTGGCGTGTTGATTTCGCCACAAGGATGAGTTGAGAATGAGTGACGAGGTAGCCCTCCTGTTGCCACTAGCGGCTGCTCTTTTGTGCACCTAGCCCAGTCAACTCGCGCCAAAAGCATCCCTTCCTGCCAGTTTGACTTCGCTTCCCAGACTGAAGCCGACTGTGTGCTCAAGTTCCAGTTCGTGATGAACGAAATACCCGAGCTTGTCAACCTGCTCTGCATCTCCGACCCAATAATTACCCCGAATAGACACCGAGCAACTGCTCTTGAGGCTCTGTGCATCCTCCTGAATCGCTTGGCATGGCCTCATCGACTCGGTACTATGACAGAAACGTTTGGCCGAAGCCGCGAAGACCTCTAATGCATTTCAAACACCCTCATGTTCCACATAAACAACAAGTGTTCCGCCTTGCTCCACTGGGACCACAGACGCCTCAACTCGCAATGGATGAAAACGTGTGGCGACGCCATTCATCGCGCCGGGGCCCCACTGACGACATGCATTGGCTTCATCGATGGTACGGTTCGCGAGATTTGTCGGCCTGGCAAGAGAGTCCAAAGAGCGGTGTTCAACGGACACAAGGTTAGTTCAAGACATTCCAACTTTTGGTGACAGAGTTTTGTAGCGTAAACATGCACTAAAGTACCAACCTGTGACCACCCCAGACGGAATCATAGTGCACTTGTACGGTCCCGAGCCTGGATCACGACATGATGCATTTCTCTTGGCCAAAAGCAATTTAGTGGAAGAGTTGCGGGATAAACTTTGCCACAACGAATCCCGGTATGTTATTTACGGAGATCCAGCTTACGGGATCAATGATGTAATTATCTCGGGGTATAAAGGGGCTTTGCTCTCGGAGGACCAACCTCTATTCAATCGTCAGATGAGTGCTGTGCGTGTGAGTGTGGAGTGGGGTTTCCGCATTGTTCCTAACTTGTGGAGATTTGTCGACTACAAGGGAAACCAAAAGGTGTGGTTGCAAGCTGTTTGTGTGCAGTACACTGTCGCTGTACTTCTCACGAATATTCACACATGCATGAAAGGTGGCAACCAGATTTCTATGTACTTCAACGTTGCCCCGCCTTCAGTACAAGAATATTTGCAAAGCGCCAAGAATAAAGCATAAAAGGATATCGTGTTGTTAATTCTCGGGCAGCTTTTTGGCCAAGCTACGAAGCAAGTCAATAGTGCTCTGCATATACTGAAGTTGTAATTGGCGCTCTTGTTGCTCCAGTGCAAAACGAGCTTCTCGTTCTGCTTTGTCCAGGAGATATCAACGTTCTTCCAACTCCACTTTATGCTGCAAAAGGGCGTTCGACCCCCGTTTGGCTTCGATCTCGGCTCGCTTGAATTCATTTGAGGCATCAATCATCGACAAAATGTCGACAACTGCAGACGCAGCATCCTTAAGAACAGACGATGGTCTTGGTTCCTTGACCTTCGAGGGCGATACCTCCTCCTCCTCTTCAAGCGCATCTGACTTACGCTTCATTGTCATTAGGGCGGCTTCACGCAACATGAGACCCTCTTTTTCGCGTTTGTCGATCTTCTTGCTCTTCTCTTCCTTAAGTGCCTTTTTTGTCTTGTACGCTGAGTCCATCTACAACCTTGACTCAGTCATGATACATTTACATGGAGCAACCATATCCGACAGGTCTTGGATGAGCTGCTCTCTTTCATTGTATTCTTCCTCAGTACCAGTCGCGCGCAAGGACTTCACTGTGTCCTTCTTGAATGCTGCCATCAAATCATCCAGGCTCTTACGACATCCTGCAGTAATCAGGTCGGGGCCGTGCATTTCGCGTATGTGCTCTACAACTTCTTCCCATCGTGCAAGGATTTGTCCATAAGGAGCTTCATGTGGGCATACAGCCATGACCTCCTTAAGGAGGTCTATGTCTACTTGAGTGGTAAAGCGGTACGCAGTCTTTCGCTTAACTCCGTCGTCCTCACTCATCGGATGGCTGGTCGAATGTATTCTATTGGCTGCCGTGTGTGGATTTCTTTACCTTGTGAGGTTGGCCTCACAGGAAATTTTCGGCACTGAATTTCCCCGTGGGATCAGATTGATTTTCCACAGGGAAAGTTCACAGGCAATATCTTGTAGCGAAATCAAGCCAATGGAGGACTTCCAAAACCGGCAATTTGGTACAGGAGTGGCACAAACTTCATCCGGTCATTGCATGAATAAAATGACGATTTGAGTTTATGGTTGTCTCCAAAACCGACTGAAAAAGGATGACAACGTTAATAAATTATTGAATTGCTATTTTTTAATATCTGTTCAATTTCTATATTTTTGTTTATATAATTTACTAAACGGTTTAATTGATTTCTTTAATTGATTTACTAACAGTGGTGGGCGGCATCGAGGGGACTTTAACAAAAACTATAAACTCTTGGAAAAAATTCACAACGTGCATCCATTATCAATTTTTCCTTGACCCGACACTTTATAGGAGCCACGGACATGAACACGCAACCTTGTCAAATATTGTATGTCTCAGAACGCCTCCAACAATCACAAATAGAAGGAAATAGAAACATACGATGCATATGGACAATTATATTGAGTTTAACAAAATAAATTGATTATTTGTATTCTTTTTTTAAGAAATCCATTATTTAATGAAATAAAGAATCCTTTTGAATTAAATTTTGAATTAATTGATGAATATTTTAAAATTTAATATTTTTAAAATACAGCCTCTATGACTCGGTGGGGGGAGTCAATTGGATTGGTTGCTGTGAGCCAACAAAGAGGAGAGTTAGAAATGACAGTCACTTCTCCAACACAAGAGATGCCGCCTCCATCAAGCAAGAAGACACGAGCAAAAACAATGGCTGGAAAGAGAGGAAAGAGCTGGACTGAACCAGAAGTACAACTCATGCTCGACGTTGTTGAATCTCAACTCCCCTTCGGCCCAAAACAATGGGAAACAGTAGAAGCCATTTACAACAACGCTGTTTCAACGAAGGAAGGGTGGGTTCTTCGTGATGTTGAGAGTATTCGTCGGAAGTACAAAACGTTGCGCAGCATTCTCAAGCCGACAGGAGATCCCTTGTGTCCCCCAAGCGTGTTCCGGGCCAAACTAATTCAGCAAGCAATTGAGAGTGCCATGGGTGTATGCGATCTCGGATCTGAAATCGACGAATCTTCTGCTGTTGGCGAAGTGGAGCAGGTTGACGAAGCTGGAGAGGACTT